TTGGCTCGTACCGAACTCGTATCTAATTCGGTACAAACTTGCCCCTCTCCCACAAGGGGTTTTTTCAGCATACGAGTTACAAGAGAATACCGAGTTGCTAACTCGGCAAACTCGGCAAAAACTCGTAGGACGATTCGGAAAGCTCGGAGAGGACTCTTACCTACTCGTAGCAGCTCTGAACTCGTGGCGCTAATTTTGAACATGTTCAAAATTATCGCCACGAGTAGATAACTCGTAGTAAACTCGAAGAACTCGTAGGTAGCTCGTAGAGTATTCGGGGTACTCTTACTTAGCTCGTACACTACTCTGGATACTCGTCGGCGGTTTTGTCATCTACGAGTTTGATGCGAGCACCCAAAAATGAGTACGAGTAAGTACGAGCGCACCGAGTTGGCTCCTACCTAACTCGTATCTAATTCGGTACAAACTTGTTACGCTCGTAATAATCTCCTAGTTAACTCGGTGCTCTGCTCGGCATAATTCGTACATAACTCGTTACCAACTCCATAAAGTCGTACCTCACTCGTAGCTAACACGTAATAAGCCCGTATAGGTCCTTTCCAAAGATCACGAGTTTTAACTCGTAGAAATCGTACGACTCTTAGGTGAAATAAACCTAGGTGGGAGAGGGGCTACTGCTAACTACTGCTAATCCTAATGTGACCGAGAGTGGTGACTTTATTGAAGTAGGCTTTCAAGAACCTAGATATGTTAGAAGGAAATAAAACGAAAGCAGATTAGAGGAACTGTCGTTGATTTATTGTTAAAAGCTTGTCTGCGTCCCCCTTTCAGGCTTTGCCTGGGAAAGTCCTATCGTCTGATACTACATCATAGCAGGACATTGGTTCTTACCTTCAAAACATTACTATCATTGTGCTGAGGTGCAAAATTGTTGATTTAAATGAAAACCGCCTTGTCGGAATCGAAAATGGTAATAATTTACATAAAACTTTGTGTGTGTGTGTGTGTGTGTGTGTTTTGGCCTCTATTCTGATAGAAATGCTCTCACGCAAAAGTTCACAGCTTAAAGCCCAGTTACCTCGCATTCTGATTCTCAGCGAAAACTTTTCTAGAAAGAAACGTGTGAGAATTTCTACCTCGTCAAGTGGCACCTTCCTCTATTATAGTCTGGTCTAATAGATGAAATATTTTGACATTGCAATTTCACAATTATTCACTCACAACGCAGCAGTTATCTCACAAAATTCGTAAGGCAGTCGTTTTAAATTTGCGTTTCCTGATTATGCACTCAAATAGATCCATATGTAAAAATCATGTTCCGTCGCTTGGGCATTTTTGTTTACAAGAGACACTGTAAAAAAAATCGGAAACGAATTATAAATATTAAATTATAAAACCAGCCGACTCGGATTTCCTTTAATAATTTTGGTTTGAGCAATAATATTTGTTATTTAGGTTATGATACTGCATGACAGATGACAATCTATGATGCATAAATGAATCCTTCGCGTTAAACTTGGTCAGACAGTGGTGGCGCCAAAATAACCACTAAATGCAGACAGTATGCTGATTGGGCATTGTAAGTCTTAGCTTCGCAGTATCAAGCGAAGTCTTACTTACACAGTGGAGTGTAAATAAACTTCAATAAACAGCTATTTTGTGTTTCGTATTTACAGACGTAATTTTTATTTTTATTTATTTATTTTTTTATTTATTCATTCTGAAAGTAATTATAAGTAAAAACATTCAAGGATAAAAATACAGAAAAGTACAAAGAGGAGACACAGAAAAGTACAAAGAGACACAAAAAAGTACAAAGAAGAACACAGAAAAGTACAAAGAGACACAGAAAAGTAAAAAGAGACACAGAAAAGTACAAAGAGACACAGAAAAGTACAAAGAAGAACACAGAAAAGTACAAAGAGACACAGAAACGTAAAAAGAGACACAGAAAAGTACAAAGAGGAAATGCAATGTAATGTATGTAAAGCAATGTAATGTATGTAAAGCAATGTAATGTATAAGCATAGCTTAAGGTAGTTAGGGACGTCCTGGGTACGTCATTAAACTCCATCCGGTCGAAGCGTCGGCGACTAAACTGACAACCCTCTCAAATGTCTTAGTGGCTGCTGAGGGGAGGGTGTTTATGGTCACCCAGCAGCAAGAAAAACCAATAGCTGAACAAAGGGCGGATGAGCTCCTCGGAGTCAACGGCCAACCATTAATTAGTTTAAGGAATAGGAGTAATTTAGTCTCATTGTTATTGTTATTATGATTATTTTTATTTTATTTTATTGTTACTATTTTATTGTTATTTGCTATATTATTTCTCTGTAAAGCGCATAGGGGCAATGTGCAATATGCGCTATATAAATACAACATTATTATTATTATTGAAATTAGCAGCATTAACTAATACAATTTTTTTTCCAACATTAGTCCACACATTCCACTTCATTAGGAAACTTTTTCGTCGTCATCGTTTTCATCATTATTAATCTCTATAATAATATTTTTTTTCAGGGATTCGATACATAATCTTGGAAGAAATAAACAACTAAGAAAATATGGAAGGTAAACAAAATGAAAACTGATTTATATAATTCTGTTTGTATTTAATATGAAAATATTTCAAGTTTGTATTTATTAGTGTTTGATAACATAGAAGTTCACTAATATACTTTAAAAAAAACAAAAACATAATATTTAAGCAAAAAATAATGAGTCGGTGAATCCCAAGGTTAATTTCAAGGTCACCGCATACGACGTTCTAAACGAACTATGCATTCTGGGATAATTTACTCCTATATATTTCTAATACTCTACAGACTGAAAAAGCAATAAAATTGAGTTATTACCATTATTATCGTTACTACACTTGTTTTATTATTTAATTTTCGATATATCATTTCGAAATATTTATTTTTTTTAGTAAATAATTATTGATGAAGTAAGTTTTAACAACACCCAATGCTTTCCAAGAGAAGTCTAGCCTTTTTTTTTTGTTTGGATCCAGTCACTTTGCACAATTGGAACTACGGTGCTGTAACTTTCTTCATTTGCTTACTTGTTTAATTTACTCATACTTTTGGAGTAACAGTTCGAAAGTCAGATTAAGCACAAGAACCCGATCACACTAAGAGATAACGATGCCACACAGCAAGAATGAACATATTTTCAAGGCATAACTCCAAATATAACATCATTCACCCCCCTTTACATTCTAATGCCAATTGTTAACGTCCAATCTTCAATTATGTCCATAGGCCTACATAAATTGTATCACATAACTAATCGTATTACTCATCATTCGGGTGATATGTGATGTTTCAATATTAATAATGCATAATCCGTACATTTTTAAGAATTCATAAAATAATTCTAAACAGGATTATCAACCAGACTATAATTTAGTATAATGTTATAAAAAGTGCCTGTCAATTTTTAGTAAATTGACTACCAATAGTTTTTAAAATACTGTACATTAAAAAAATCTACGTTATAATGTAATATAGTAGTTGTTTTTTTTTTAAATCAGATACGCAATTCAATGCTCTCAAAATGGTTTTCTCCAAATGGTATGATGACAACGGATATCTTACAATGTTAAAAGTGTTGTTCAGAGATCATATTAGCGATAAGAAACTGAGAACAATAAATAACACAATGGACTTACTTAATCACTTGGTTAAATCTTCTCATCTGACTTCAAGTGATTTGATTATCCTATGTGATACCATTAACCTAACTAAACACTATGCCCTTCAAGAGATAATCAGAAGCTCTTTTTCGACATTCCCGGATGTTAAAGAAGGAACAATTTCATTAAAATTTAAGCCTCACAGACAACGAGTATTAAAATTTGGGATGGCACTGACACCAACAGATGTGACGAAGATTGATGGAGCATATAATACGCAACTTAAGAGCTACGCAGACGCATGGATTATGATCGAAGATCTAGAAAAAAGAAAAATAATCCAAGAAGGAGATATGACAAACTTCAATCAATCACTGGAAGAACTTAATCTCCGTCTGGCATTAAATACTCTAACAGAAGGTACAGGTTTTTTTTACTTATCTCGCTGCCTTTTGTTCTGATGTATAATACGTGTCCCACACTTAAATAAATCTAGCCAAAAATGTATACCTACTCTCTAAATGTAGAAAACCGAAATCGTCGCTCTGAAATAAAAATGAATCTGTTTTAGCTCTTTTCGAGCTGTAAGTCACTCATAAAAAGATTTTCTCTCATTTTTGCCCATTTTCGCTTTTATCAAGAGGGATAAAAAATGCAGCTAGACGCAGGGTTTTCGGAACACGGCCCTCAGCACCGTGCGCAAAGCACAACTCAGAGTCAGAAGTGGATCGTGAAATGTGGTTTTGTAGTCAGATTTGTGAGAAAACCTTTAGCTACCCATATTTATCGGCTGCGACGTCAGTGGGATCTGTAAACCGTATGGCAGGGAGATGGCGCTACCCCTAATTCGCATTAAGAGAATTTACACCCACAAACTTTGTAGCTAATAATATTTTGGTTATAATAGAAAATTTTTATTTTTTGTTGACGTCACACTCACAATATAGTTAGCATGGTGCATACGTCATAAGCTAGATTACATCACCTTTTCCTGGTAAGACAAACTTTCCCGGCGTGCTTTTTTCATGGATAAAAAAACACAACTGCTTTGAAAAAGAGTACTGCGGCGTAGACCTACTCATTTTCACAAAGCATTTGCATCCCTTCTTGGATAGAAGGAACTTCGAAATAATTGTCTCCATATCTTTACTAATTAATCACCATAATTCAGCTTACACTTATGGAAGGAGGGAGCACTTACAATGTACAATAATCATTTCCCTACCCAAAAACCCCGAAATGTATTAAAGAGGAACTGAATTGAAAATTAGCATAATTTTAATATTTAGTAATGATAAGGGCTATAGTAACTTTGGATAATTTTTGTTTTTAATTACTAATTTGGCACAAATTAAATTATTTGGCCAAGAGAGGGCGCTGCAGCCGTGACGTATTGAAAGGTCCATCATTGCGACACACATACCGCTCGTGTGCTATCGTAATGGCTTCTGAGAGACGTACTGGGTTTTTATTTGAGCCAAAAAGGCAATTTTCAGAAGAAAAAAAAGAAAGTGACGACGGTAATTCCACAGATGATACCGATATTAGATTAGATGATGATAGGACGGAAAATTTATGTTGGTGTACGTGCGAGAACTGCGTTATAATGCCTAGCAGAATCGAGTGTGTATGCTGCAGGGAGAATGTTGATATCTGTCGGAAGATGGACGTAAACATCGATAAGTGTATTCAGTCGAAAGAGAGTTTAAAAACATTGTGTTTAGACAAGGAAATATTAGTCCTCATGTCTTCTATAAAAGAAGTTGTTGGTGAAGATCTCCGTGACCCGATATCTAACAGGTGAGCATTGTCTAGGCCGGCTAACTTGGGGATGGGGTAATGGACTCAGCCATAGCCTAGCGCGAGTGGCATCGGCCCTCGGCGAAGGATAACTGCAAACCACTAAATAAAGAAGGCGGTATTCTACCACATTACTCTGACGGCACATGCCAGCAAGTTCAGGGCTAGCTTTAATTTGTAAATTGGTCCACCTGTTCGTGCCTCTAATAATACCTATTAGTTATTACTAGGCTTAGGCCGAGCATAGAGATATTACACCTACATGGGCCTAGTTTAATTAGACGAATTCTCGGACGCCTTATCTGCCTTCCTGTACGTCTAGGGGCCTTAAAAAGCTAAAACAATGTTGATTGTTTGAATTTGGTCAGTTGCTTAATATACTGTATAATATACTATTATACTTTAACATTAATTGGTCTAACTAGTATTATTAAATATTAATTATAATTCAATTATTAATAATATAGAACTATGCTGGCCTACTGCTGTATACAGGCTTCAATGCATTGACTAGGCCCAGACCATACCCAGTCAAGGTTAGAGGATATGCATGGGACTATGCCTGCACCTTCATACCTATACTGTAACAATAATAATATTTTTTTCTTCTTATAGGTTGTACAGATATACAGCATATCAGAGTTTCACTTGGTGGATCTACGGAAAATTAGGCCGAAAGGTGAGGCGAATAATTCCTGCCTGTGTTGTAACCTGTATCAGGGCACACTTTCCAGAAGAAGATGGTGTGTATGAAGGCTTTCATAATGTTGATCTAGTTAATGAATTGCCGGATGACTCTCTGTAAATATTCTCCGTATCATTAAAATACTTCTTTGTCTAAACACCTTTTAAAATCAATCTGAGACAATACAGCTATTACTGTTTATGTCCGTATTTTGACAGACCAATGTTTTTCATACAGCATACACACTCTGAAATGCAATTTTTAAAATTTTAACTAAATGTCTTTGCTGATTTTCATATTTTATAATTTATAATTTAAAATATTTCTCATTTTTATGTGAAGAAAAAAAAAACTGTATGTGGATATGCTAATTGCTCTTTCCATGACTAACACTTTATTTAATTGCTTGTTGCCACAGTAACAAATGGTATACCAGTCTGGTTGGTTTCAAATTTGGCAGGATGCAAGATGGTAATAAAACAACATAACATTATTGTTTTAGTACTTGTGTGATTATGTTAATTGTCATTACAAAATGAATAACCAAATTAAGTTTTACTTGATACATCATAATTCTTACTAAAACAACTCAAAAAGAACATAATACTGAAAGTGAAAAATAAGTAAAGGTTTATGTAGAAAATTGCTAATGCAACAGTAATTAACTTTTTAAACTAATTAAAAATCTAAAGCATTTCTAAATCTGGACATGTGTTCCTTCACTACATCAGCTTTTGTTGGTTTAGTCTGTCTGCTGATATTGCCTCTTGCTAATTCGGGGACATGGATGGCTCCTACATCTGCACCAACCTCTGGAAGATAAAATGGTGTGCAGTAAATGAGAAAAGAAGTTAAAATAAACAGGACAATATTAGCAGTTTTAAATACTGCATAAAATTTGTATTCACACAACAAATAAAAAGTGAAACTCACTATTTAGGAGTCGATCCAATGTTGCATTGGTCAGTTCTTCCCGAAATGAATAAACTTTTATGTCTACCACTTGCTTTGCTACAAAAGATTTTGTCCGTTTCGACCACTGCACTTTCCATTGTTTTTCCCCCATGGAATCAAAGGATTGTTTCCTTCCAACGTTGTTGTTATTGTCCAGAGCAGCAAGCATAGTTCTCGCCACCATTCCTTCATAACTGAAAGCGATTCGCTTTGGAACATACTTTAGCATTATGTTATGGAATGACTCTAAGTTTCCAGTGTGGCAAAACTTTGTGACCTAATTTTGAATTGCAAAAAATACATTTAACTAAATGTTAAATAATTACCATGAAAGAAAACCAAACATGATTGATAATATTGAATGAACAATTCCATTCAATTCAAATTTATTTGAGCATAATTCAACACATTACAAATAACAAAGCAATGAACAATAAAAAGATAATTTAGTAAAACATTTACAGCTCAGGATAACCCAAAAAATCTGAATCGGTTTATTTCCTTTGGGGTCCCTTAAATAAAAAATATTACACAAAAATAAATGATTTACAATGAAGACAATGTTACAGTATTACCATTAACATATCTTTAAGCAGTCGCTTGTCTGTAACAATACCTTGCAATACATTATGTGAAGCTGTGTATTCATATGCTGTAATCCACTGGTGCTTATTTACAATATGGTTTAAAATGGAAAGCCAACGTTCCTGTAAACAATCAATACAGTGCAAGTTAGATAGGCCTAGTCAAATGGAATTTCAAATTTAATTAAATTCTACTTGCATTTCATAATTTTAACCCTACCTTCAATTGAGTCTCACTTCCTTGACAAGTGTCTGCACACCACCAAAAGTGATTGACAATAGACTTCACCCAGGGCTGAAAATCAGCACACTCTTTGCGTTTTGCTGCTGCTGAAAGTTTTTTGGTAAGGCTTTTCCCAATGTGCCACACATCAAACTGATGGGTAATGTTGCTGTACATTTCTCTTAGCGTTTTAGTCACTTGGGGATGCCTATCGGTTGCTAAAGTACTAACTTTCACGCCTGCTTGCTAAAATAAGTCAAAGCGAGAGATAAGACATATATTACCCTTTATGGAGTATGCTGACACTTGGAACATAACTTGCATTTATTAATTAAATTTCATCTACATAACTCAAGCTGTCCTAGACTGCGAACCATTGTTTTCTAAATGGTATGAATTTTTGACCTCTGTCACTTTCACAACATTAGTCGCAAGAATAATATTTTTGTCACAATCCATAAGGGAGTAAGTTCCATATGTTGCACAATGGCCAGAGCTATCACATCGGGCATCACCAGCCAGCGTCAAATCAGTCTTCGTGCAATAGTCTGAAAACATACAAAACAATACTGTAGTAACGTTAAAAATGAAAATTTGATATTCCCCATTACTTCGGCCTATAATAATGTTGTGTAATATTTGTTATTTTGTTGTTAAAAAGTAGTACTAAATGTAGCATACAAATGTACCTTTAAAAAGTTCTTGTTGATGAAATTCCCACATCTGCTTTACGGATGGCAGCAAAAACTTGCGTTGTATGACAAAGAAATCTCTTTCTGTCATTATGGCTAACTTCATGTTATCAGAAATTTCTTGTAGGGTTGTAAATGTGTTGCCTGTGTACAACACTGATGCTGACAGAATAAGATTTCCTACTGCCATCTTATTAATCATTGGTTGGGACCGCCACACAAAATCATGATTGTTGAGACATGTACATTTAATTGTTAATAAACTCCCCCTTGTCTGTTGTTTAATTTCAGCAATGGGGGCTGTACATGTTGGATCCCCCTGGCATGACTTAAAGAGCTCCAATAGATTTTCATTGTAAACTATATATTTATAATCTGGGGGAAAAGTTTCACTGCTACTGTCCGAATGAGCATCCTCACTACTGTCACTCTCGCTTCCTGAGGAGCTCATCCGGTACGACTGGTCATCATCTCCCAAACTGTCTTCGCCAGGTGAAATGCAACCAAAAGAAGGTACTTCACATTTTTCTGCTGTTGAAGTAAGTGGATGTGGGTTGCAACATGAGGCCAAACATGTAGGTGCTACACCATTACAACAAGGAGAAGGACATGGAAAGTTGATGGGATCCGTTTGTGTTGCAATTGATGCGCATGTGGTTGGTTTTATTTCAGTAAATGGTTGTTCAAGTACTGGCTGTTCATTATCTTGTGCAAATTCTTGTCGTTCAGCAATAATAGCATTATCTATTTCTTCATGAATCTAAAAAACAACATTAATAAACGACAAAAATATTTACACCAACTGCGATAACATAATAATAATAATAATAATAATAATAATAATAATAATAATAATAATAATATTAAAAAAGCAAAAAATAAACAAAAATAATAATTATTATTAAAAATAATAATATAAATATTTGCAATAACGTTTTATCAATTTATAGAATATTATAAACTGTAATACTGTACAGTACATTTATTTATACAGTGTTCAAAATAATTAATACTACAACACTACTAGGACACTAGGCCAATCCCGCGCAGTGGCATATGCATTGACTCCTATAATTTTATGAAAGTTCATTTGCCTTCAAAATCACTGGAATGTTTGCAGGAAGCACAGACAGTGGCGAACCTTACAGTTTAAAAAGCATTCACCTGTCCGACAAAATAAAATATACAATAAATCTTGGCCAACTGATGACCAAAACCAAAGCCAAAACATCGTCGTTGCTAAGCATTCTTATCATTGTATTTCCACGGAAGGTGGAGTGGGTAGTTACCACATTCCGATTTAACTACCTAATCGCGGTACGAATTCGACAAGGCCAACAAGGTGAATTTAGGCTCAGATTATTGCGTAAATTATATGTAAGTACTATATTTTTTTTTTCATTTGGAATGAATTAAATAATGAAATATATCATACTTAGAAATTGTGGATCTTTTTGCTCTTGCTTCTAAACGGTATTTTCAAACGCTTTGCCCCGGCTCGGACAATCTAGGCCTACTAGTAGTAGAACAGATGTAGGTCGCTCATCATTTAGGACGGACGGGGCTGCGTTTATCGTTGCTGTCTTATAAAGGCAAAAATTGTTGGGACGGCATCATCCTTTAAAAGGAATCGTTGTTTTGTTCCCAAAAGCTCTGCCTTCAAATCTCTCACATAGCAATCTTTCTCGAAATGCTCACTGCAAATTCTACTGAATGAATTGACGGGGGTGATTTGAGCTGCATTGCATTCAGCCATTTTCGGAGGGTATCCTTATTTCGTAGTGGTAAAGAATTAAAATGAAGGCCTTTATTCTTCTTGTAACCTTTATTTGTGCACCCTGGTGCCATACAAAAATACGGCATTATTATGATTATACTCCGTGTAATAGCTTAAAATGAATATTTTTTGTGAAGAGATGAGTGTATTGCCTGGATATTTCTCCTACGTATATTCCTATTCTATAAACAGTACCGCTGGAGCGTTCTCGCGATAATTTGTGGACCTTAGGTGACGTCATAAATATTTTGTCCAATCAGCAGTGTTCATTTGGTTATTGGGAATAATTAGTTAATTAATGAATGAGAGCTCAATAAATAACAAACACAGGTTTTAAACGTTTATTTCATACATCGTTATACAGTATAAAGTATCAGATTCACTAATTCATCTTTAAGGCATTACATAACTAATTTCGTTTTGCTGTATTCCAGCATTACTGGTGCATGGTAACAACCAACTGACTGCAGACCATTTCCGGTCACACATTACTCTCCATAACGCAGCACCCCCTATTTCCGTCACCTCTGGATTTTTTTTGAGTGATTAGGCCTATTGAATAGGCTGTGTTGATTGGCTAAAAGTGGATGGTCTGATATTTGCACGCGCGCAATCTTTTGGATTACTGTATTACCAAGACACTTCGACTCTCTTTCTCTGCTGCACGCTGATGTCGGCGAGCCATGGTAAGTTTACTATGTCACAGTTGCTGCATTCTGCGTGGTTCGATTATACAATTGTGAATATATTGGAATAATAGACCTTCAATTCAAAGACTTGTCCAAGTCAAATTTTAATCGCGGCCGGCATGCTCCCATGCCAGGCCACTAAGCTAGCTTACTATACTATGGCCTAGATGCTAGACCTAACAGGCGAATCTTCAACGCTCTAGCCTATGCTTACAAACTCTTCCTACGACAGGATTGTTTTGGCCGCCATCGATTTCGTCTGCAATGTATACAAGGCCTAGGACCACATTCTGTATTGGTTGTACAATTTAAGATTTGAATCATTGAAAGACTATTAAAAACCCTATTTAGGACCCTAGCACTATGTCAGTATTTGTGAGGTAACAGAGTAAATATTGGGGCCTGCCTAACCCAGACACTAAGTCCTATCCTAGGCCAATAAGAAAGTAATTAGGGTAGGCATAGGCCTAAATTACTAATTTTCAAGGTGTTACACATGGTTGCATTGCGGCCGAACTTGTTTTTGGTCAAATCAGAAAGCAAATTAGACCTTTTCTTTGGTGGACGTTTGCCTAATGGCATGTACCAAACCTTATAAGTGTATAACTCATGAGTCTAAATTTTTCTCGTTCTCCAATCCCTGTGTCCCAATTTTAAATGAGTGGTTTGCATATCGAATCTGTTAAAATATGTAACTTATTTGGAGTGTGTAAGGCTTCCGAAAGGTTGTCTACTCTTTATTCGCTTATGAAATTTAATGCTTCAACTCAGGATTTAGTTGCTGTATATGTCATACATTCGTCAAATAGTCAAATATGCTGCAAAGAAAAGAAAAAAAAAAACACTTGGCAGACTCATAAGAGCTATTGCTGGCACTATAATGGCCAATAACATTGGGGATACATATTTTCAAAACGTGGGCAGACCCAGATGGTTTAGCATGTTTGGGGTCCTTGAGGGGAAGCAATGGGAATATTCATAAGGGCTCCTTGTGGGTCAGCTAAGTATTTGCGAACAGATTATGGGATAAGTATGGGCAGAAGCATGTGGGAAAT